GCTGGTAAGATCACACCTGGAATACCGATGGCAGTTTTGGTCCCCTTGTTTAAGGAAAGATATCATTTTATTGGAGGCAGTCCAGAGAAGGTTCGTTAGGATGATCCCTGGTATGGAAGGATTGTCTTATGAGCAAAGTTTAAACAGATTCGGACTTTACTCACTGGAATATAAAGAAGAGTGAGAGGTGACCTCATTGAGACGTACAGGATTCTTAAGATGTTTAAATTATTAGAGATGTTTCCCTTTGTGGGAAAGTCTCGTAACAGAGGCCATGGTTTCAGAGTAAAGAGGTGCAAATTTAAGACTGAGATGGAGAGGAATTTCTTCTCTCAGAGGGTTGAGAGTCTTTGGAACTCCTTGCCACAGAGAGCTGTGGGGGCAGAGTCCTTGTGTGTATTTAAGGCTGAGACAGACTCTTGATAAGAAGTGGACTCAAGGGTTACAGGAAGGGGCAGAAAAACGGTTGTGAAGCCAAACAGCCTACTCCTGTTCCTGTTTCTTTATGGTCTTATGGTGTTCAGGGAAGCAGTCATTTTGGTGTGGGATTGCAATCGCATAAGGGCAGAACAGGACAGGGCATTAGTGAGTTTCACAAAATTGCTTCATTTACATATTAACCTTGCCACAGAATTCTATGTCTGATATGTAATAATACAAGTACCTGTTTAATAGCATGATAATTGTTAATGATTACCAATCAATCTCTCTGGCCCAGAAAATTAACAATTAAAGGTATGGAGTCTCATTCTTTTTGATTGTGAATTGTTCTAAGTGACTTTGTTTTAAATTGACCTTCTAAGTGAAAACTTTTCTTTCTTCCGCTGCGTGCACAAGCCTCACTCTTTCTTTGTGTCTCCTGCTGTCTCTCACTGTATCTCTGTATTTGTGTCACTGTGTGTATCTCTCTGTCTCTCTTTTCCTCTCCCTGTTTGTCATTGTATGTGTGCCTTCTCTCCATCTGTCTCTCTCTGATTCCAGTTGTGCATCTGTATTTGTTTCTGTCCCTCTGCTTCTCTGTCTGTCTTTCTCTCTTCCCTTCTATTTCTGTGTACACATATCTCTCTTTCTCTGTATCTCTCAATCTGTGTTTCTATCTGTCTCTCTGTTTCCATCTGCCCTCTTCATGCTAACCCCACGTGATGTCAGAAATGGGCAGCTCCACATTTCTAGGCTTTTGCTGTGATGGAATTGATTTCCTATAAAACACATTGGAGGCAAGGGTGGTATTTATGTTCTGAGTATTTTAGATGCTCAGAAACCCATACACTTTTTCTATCTCTGCATTGGTTATTATAGTGTTCAACTGTCTTTGGTTATGAGACTCTGTTTAGTATTGATGCTCATTATGTTTCATTCATTAAGCCTGAATGTGAACTCAGAAGGAGTAAGTAAATTGTATAAGTTACTGGAAGCTAGAACTGAAAGTATGGAGCAGACATTTTAAAGCACCGAATAATCTTTCTTATACACTCACAGCCATGCACCTCTCTGAGTTATATGAAGTATACAACAGGTGCGTTGGCAATTTCAGTAATGGCTGTGAGTATCTCAGATTATTGAATGCATTAATGCAATTTATTGATGTTGAGGCTCATTCTGTTTAATCTCTTTTGTTTAGATAAAGACACAAGGGCAACTATTGGGGTTCCAACACTATCGATAGTTGCATCAACTGCCAGCTCTGTTGCTTTGATCCTCCTCCTGGTAGTTTTATTTGTTTTGCTGCAACCAAAGTTGAAGTCATTTCACCACAGCAGGTGGGTAAAGAATGATCAAAGCAGATTTTGTGTGTGTGTGTGTGTGTGTGTTTGTGGTTGTGTGGTGTGTCTGTGTGGGAAACTGGAGGTGGGGCAACTGCATCTCTGGGACTGTCTGTGGCTAGGAGGCAAGGACATGGTCAGTCTGGGACGAGGGGGCTTGAGGGGTTGGTTCGCTTTCAGAGCTTGTAACTGTGCACTATGGGGGTCGTGACTGTAGGAGAGGTGTGATTGATGCAGGTCATCCAGGATCTAATTGTATGTTTAAATAGACTTGAGGGGACAACAATGGCCCCTTTCTGTTCCTGATTTTCCTCAGTTTCCTGAGGTTTGAGCCAATGAGCTAGTTGCGTTGTGTTTAACCATATGTACGTATCTGTCCCCAGGCGAGATCAGGGAGTGTCGGGGGAACAGGTGTCCATTGTAGTGGATGGGGTTCCTGTCTCTCTGCCGTCCTACGAGGAAGCCGTGTACGGCAGCTCAGGAGCTGCCATCCCGCCTTCTGGCTCACGGGTACAGATCGTCATGGCGGAAGGGCCAGTTCCAGGTGAAGACGCCCCAGAGGAAGGTGCCCACTGCACCAGAGATGCTGACGACTGCCCAGAAGGTCCTGGCGACTCTGAGGCTCATGGCAGCGGAAACCGTTCAGAGACTGTTCTGATTCATCAGCCCGCCTTCTCGTCCCCCGCACACTCCCATAGTTTGGTGATGAGGCTGTCTTTGTCTTCTGACACTCAAGACACCGAGAGCAGTGACGTCCAGAGTCTTCTATCCCTCTCCTCCCCTGTGGGATCTACTGATGGTAAGCAGTGCCTCCTACAGGGCTTGATGTTTTGTAGGTCTTTGACTGACAAAGTGTATAATTCATCCTCCACATTGAGATGGGTTTGCATTGCAGCATACATTTGCATGTAAATATATATCTGTTTCCTTCCTTGTACCTTATTTTTCATTCCTTACTGCATACGCACTTGTACCTTCTGTCTCATTTGCTCAATCGATAATTACTGAAAAGAGGCATTTTCAGAGTTACAGGGACAGGAACAGAATTGTGGAGTGGGGCCAACTGGATTGTGCATGCAGAGAGCCAGCCTCAACACAGCAGACTGAGGTGTAACCATTGTCTGATTTTGTTTGTATCCATGTGTTTGGGCCTTTTGGCAAAGAGTTTTTCTTTAAGCAGTAATTCCCTGTCCCATTGGGTTGGAAGCAGGGCATTGACTTTGAACCAGACAATTACAAAAGCATGGCCCAGAATCTCCAAACTCCCATTCACCGAGAGAGAGACTCCTCACAGGAAGGTCGGCAATGCAGAATTAATGCATTGGTCTCCTGAGACCAGGTTCTTCTTAATGTTGTACCTTATCATTTCTGTCACTTGGAGTCATTGAGTCATACAGCACAGAAACAGACCCTTCAGTCTAACCAGTCCATGCTGAACTTAATCCCAAACTAAACTAGTCCCACCTGCCTGCTCCTGGCCCATATCCGTCTAAACCTTTCCTATTCATGTACTTATCTAAGTGTCTTTTAAACGTTGTAACTGTGCCCGCATCTATCACTTCCTCAGGAAATTCATTCCACTTGTTACCTTTATCAATTGCAACTCACAGGATTGAATACTGCTGAAGTGTATACATAGAATGGCTGCAGCCCAGAAGAAGCTCATTCAGCCTGCCATATCTGTGCTAGCTGTCTGAATGGGGCAATTCATTTAGTGCCATTCCTGCCCTTTCTCCCCGTGATGCTGCATGTTCTTCCCTCATAGATAATAATCCAATTCCCTCCTAATGCTGCACTTGAGTCTGCCCCCACCACACTCCCAGCACTGCATTCCAGATCCTAAACCCTGTGTGAAAAGTATTTTCCTCCTATCACAATTGGTTCTCTTTCCAATTACCTTAAGTGTATGCTGTCTGGTCCTTGATCTTTCCACCAATGGGAGCTGGTTTTCTCTGTCTAGGCCCTTCAAATGGTTTGAACAACTCTATCAAATCTCCTTCCACCCTTCTGTTCTCTAATCTATTGTCATATTCATAAAATCCTTACAGTCTGGGAGCAGGCCATTTGGCCCATCGGGTCCACACTGACCCTCTGAATAGCATCCCACCCAAACCCACCCCCCATTCGATCCCTGTAAACTTGCATTTTCCATGGTTAGCTCACCTAACCTACACACCCCTGGACACTGGGCAATTTAGCATGGCAAATCCACCTAACCTGCACATCTTTGGACTGTGAGAGGAATTGGAGCTCCCAGAGGAAACCCACGCAGACACAGGGAGAATGTGCAAACTCCACACAGACAGTCACCCGAGGCTGGAATCAAACCTGGGTCCCTGATGCTCTGTAGCAGCAGTGCTAACCACCATACCACCCCAAAGATCTTTATTCCTGGAATCATTCTTGTTAATTATTCTTCACCCTCTCTAAAGTCTTCATGTCCTTCTGAAAGTGTGGTGACCAGAGCTGGACATTCAACATTCGTATACCCATAGATTGAACTTCACTTCCTTCCTTTTGTACTCTATGCCCTTACTGACTAAGCCAAGGATGCTGTATACTTCACTACCTGGCTGTCCCTGTTCTAGACCAGAGGAATAAATGAAAACTTCTGAGGGAATATGATGTTCTTACTAGAACAACTTGAATTTCTGTAACACCTTTAACTAGTAAATTGACCAAAGATGTCCCACATAAGATTAGAGACAAATATTAGACCCTCCCTCTCTATCCCACCTTTGATGGTTTGCATTACCCTTAATGGACTTTGCACATAAATTATTCAATTCGAAACATAGGTGACTTAATGGTGGTGTTTAATAGATGAAAAAAAAGGTGTGATTTGAAAGGGAGAAAAAGTATTCAGTTGTGTGTAAGAGCACTTCTAGACATAGAGGAAAAAGTAAAACTAGAGCAGGTGACAAAAAAAATGTTTGTTTCAAGGACTGCACTCTTGGATGAATGTTGGGCTGGAGGAGATCGGAGAGATAAGGAGGGGAAAGCTATTATTAATATTAAAGGTGCTAGATGGGGGTGCTGCTGTCACTGTGCTCTAAGAAGACTGTGAATTAAAGCTGATTCTTTTGATCTGTTGATTTGTTCCCTTTTTGTTTCAGATATTCCTCTGCTCAAGGATGCTTAGGGGGACTGCCTGTGGCTTTCTTCTTCTCTTCCTCGGCCTCCTCTTCAACACTTGGCTCTCCATCTCCAATTAATTGACTCGAATCCTGTAACAGGAGCTGCAGTAAAGACATTCCCCTCACTCTGCTGAAGCCTGGTATGGACATGATTCTGTGACTCAGTCGCATCTACAGCCTGCACTGGGCACATTCTGGCTATGGAGACACTGCCTTCATATGGAGGGTAATGCTGGGAACGATCACCCTCTAGCGAGTGACAGATAAACCTGACATCCTTCACAACACAGGATATAGACTAGACGCTGAGTGGCGGTGGTGTCCTGACCTGTACATCTTAACTGCTTTTCCCCTAACCCTGTTTTGGTCTTCAGTGCCATTCCTGCTCCCATGTCTGTCACCACTGCTTAGTCCAGTTTATGATAGGTTAGAAGGCTCCAGCTACTACTTAATCCATTCCCCCAGACCTGGCAGACCATGCAAACTTCAGCTCTGAAGCCAAAAAGCCAGCTTGGAATATCGACTGAGTAAGTTCAACATCAGAATGAACAATTTGCCCCTTTTATTCTATTTAAGCTGGGTGCAGCGGATTTCCAGGTCATTGCCACAGTTGCCTGTTGATCTTTCTAAGGGATGTATAATAGAAAAGATTATTTTTGGTGAATAAGGTGTGCTGCTCTGCTAATATACCTCTGAGGTGGGATCAGGCAAGAACAGATTGGCAAAAGTCATGTAGTCTGCCATGGGAGACAAGCTGGGATGCATTGTTCAAAAGCTAACTGCTGCAGAAAGCTGATTGGGGCCAGGTCCTCCTTTGTCTTCCGTGCAAACCACTTTTTGTTTTGAGAAATTAACTCTGGCAAATTAGGGATTCTACAGCCAGTTTCCACACTGTAGCAGGTGACATTCAGCCCATCAAGTCCACACTGACCATCTGAACAGCACCCAGATCCACCTCCCTCCTCTATCCCTGCATTCCCTATTGCTGTTCATCTAGCCTACACAGCCCTCGACACTATGGGCAATTTGCCATGGCGAATCCACCTAACCTGCACATCTTTGGACTGTGGGAGGAAACCCAAGCAGACACGGGAAGAAACGTACAAACTCCACACAAACAGCTGCTCAAGGCTGGAATCAAACCCGGATCCCTAGTTCTGTGAGGTAGCAGCGTTGACCACTGAACTACCTTGTCTCGGACATGAGCTAGGCTTCCCCCTAACTCTTACATCTGTGACCAGGAAACACTAGTGGTAGCTGATGAAGTGAATGAAGAGGAAAGAAAGAAATACCTTCTATTGATATTGCACCTTTTACAACTTCAGAGCATCCCAAAATGCTTTACAGCCAATGAAGTAGCTTTGGAGTGCAGTCACTGTTGTATGGCAGGGCAATTTGCGCACAACAAAGTCTGACAGACAGTTATGTGACTAGAGATTCTGTTTTACTGACATTGCTCGAGGGATAAATATTTGGCTAGATCCAGGAGAGAAGTCCCTTAATCTTCCAAAAAGTGCCATGGGATCTTTCACATCCACCAGGGAGGATGATCAGAGGGTTAGTTTAAGGTTGCATTAGCACCTCTGAGTGCAGCACTCCCTTTGTGTCAGTGCTAGCCTAGAATTTGTACTCAACTCTTGGAAGGGTGGCTTGAACTTGCAGCCTTCTGATTTGGCTCACTGTGGGTCAGCAGTGATCCTGTAAAATCTGTCCATGGAAGCTGATAGAAAGGTCACAACCTTTACACTATCTGAAATTCACCCTGCATTGCTTGCAGTCCTCCAAAGCTGGAATACCAAATACTGGTGGCTGTTCCCCTCCTTGATGTAAACTTCAGAAAGGCTAAATGGAACTTTTCTTTCTCTTTTTGCCTTGCTGATGCGAGTGATGTGTACGTATGGGTGGTTTAAGGGGTATGTACGAGTGTGCGTGTGCATGTCTGTATTTTCCTGTTTTCACCTATTTTATTGACAGGCCTGGAAAAGTGCAATTCCAGGGTAAGGCTTCAATGGTTAGATTAATAAGGTGATGTGTAGATATTTCCAAAAAAGGTGAAAACTAGGCTTGGCCAAATTAAATCAACAGCACTTTCATTTATAAAGCTTTTTAAATTAGTGAACTATCACAGTAAAATTTATGAGACACTTTGACACTGAGCTTTGTGAGATATTAGTGTATTAAAGGATAGGAACACAGCTGGAAAGTGTGGATAGCAAGAGGGATGCTAGTCTTAAGGGGTGTGAATACAGAGAAATAAATCTTAACATCTAAGCATTGCAAGCACGTTGATACAACACAGAAGGCTAGGGGCTAGAGAAATTGGAACATATAGATACCAAAACATTCACATAGGGTATCCCTTCCACACTGGCAACACTAACTGTACATTCCCCCTTTCTACAACAGTGATCCAGTAAAGGCTGCTTGAACACTTGACGATGAGTTGGGTATTTCCCAGGTTTGTTCCTTGGCCTGAACTGAACATATATTTTTGTTGAAGTGAGGACCAATGACTGTTTTCTATCTAAATGCTCCCCAATTGTTACCTTTAGGATGACTGAACATGAGGGTTAATTAAAGCCTGAACCAACCAACCCTGAGGCTTTGTGTGCTGCAATACAGGCATATGCCACCTCACCTCAACCAAATGACATTCTTGGAGAGCCAAAACCAGATGTGAAAACTAGGACAATTAAGGAGAAAAATCTAGAAAATCTCTCTCTCTATCCAACACCCCAGGAGCTCTCATGGGTAGAGACTGGCATGGATATCTAATCAGAAATGGACTCTGAGATAAAACAGCTAAGACACAGGAATAACATACAAATTATAGCTGTAAGTCCACCTAGTCTATGCTAGTACTTCATATGAACCACTTCAATATAGCAACATAATTTTCTATTCTTTTCTGTCTCGCACCTCTAGCATTCCCTTAAAATACATATTTCTTTGTCATAACCAACCCTGTGGTGTTGAGTGCCACTTTCTAGCTGAGCTCTGAGGTGAAATGAGTCCACCCCTGCTGCAAGCTAACAATCAGATCCACAACTACTGAGTCTAAGCAGCAGCATGACACAACCACGTTACTGGTATTTCCACCTTCCTATCCTTGCAGCTTCGTGTGTGCCCGTGCTAAGATGTTGTGTGAATGTGTTCCAAATCGTGTACTTGGATTAGCCAGTGCTTTTTTTTTGTAATCACTGTTTCTTGGGCTCTTGGCTGTAGTGGGGAGGCACGTGTCAATGATTAGATTTCATTTTTCATTGTAAATAAAAGAATTTCTCTGGTGTTTCCTAAGTGAGGAATGGGATGCTGTTGTACAGCCATCCTGCTGTTGATGCAGAGGCAAGAGCATGGTTTCTTGTGACTTGGCTGTTAGTATAATTGAGTAGAGCTGTGGAATGTCAGGGTCACTCAACCTGTGCATCTTTGGCTTTTGCTTTCACATTTCTTTGGAATCCTGTATATTGCAATTGGTGTGAAGATAGTATTTTAATATTTGTACAAAGTTAATTTAAGTTTAATTGTCTTATGTATATAACTGCATTTCTAAATAAAATTTACTCTAAGTGAGTTAATGATCAAGTGTTTAATTTTTTTATTCAATTTTTTTAATCACAGTACCTGTGAGTCTGTAACCATATGTAAGCCAGACCAAGCAGGGATGGTGGATTTCCTTTACTAGTAAAGGTAATAGTGCATCAGATGGGATTTTTACAACAACCAAGATGTGGAGGGAGTAAGGGCTCAGGAGTGTGGGAAAAGCAAAATGGAAGAAAATGATCAGATGAGTGAGAATATACAATTAGAAGAGTGCACTGTGGAGGTTGTAGAAAATGTTATTATTGATACCCAAGACCATAAGACATAGGAGCAGAAATTGGGCCAAATAGCCCATCGAGTCTGCTCCGCCATTCAATCATGGCTGATAAGTTCCTCAGCCCCATTCTCCTGCATTCTCCCTGTAACCCTTGATCCCCTTGATAATCAAGACATTATATTAACTCTTGGGATATGTTTCCTCAGTAAGGACAATTTTGTGCATCAGTTATCATCAATACAATCTTCTCTGCAGCCTGCTGGCATTGATGCTGTTACTTTTCCAAATTCACCATTGATCTCCTACCTCTTCGGGTCATTACTACACAGGAAACTCTCCTGTTCTAAAAGCCCAGTCCAGTTTCAGTTACTTATCTATGTAATCCAAGTTGAAGCAGATGAAACCGCTAAGAGGGGTTGGGGAATTTTGAATGTGCTTTTCAACATACTGATTTATATTCGAGCTTCTGCAGTCATGTACATGGTTTCAATGGAATCAGGCTCTGCCCACAGAAAAGACAATGGATTTGACCTCAATTGGGAGAACGCATTGGTTCAGGAAAGTTCATTTTGTGGTTTAAAGAGAGTATCTATACCCAAGAAGTTAAATTACCAACAGACTATTTTACATAAATGTAATGACTGAAAAGCTATGTCAATGAGAATTTAAAAAAAAATTCACAGGACAAGAGTGTCATTGGATAGTCCACAAGGCCCTGGTCTTCCCATGACATAATAAAACTTTACTTTGGTTATAAACTAATTTTCATGTTTCAATAAAAGGTTTTCACTTTATGCAATTTCAATACAAAAAAAAAAATCACTTGTCATATTGGCTACTGCATTGTGAAGATGCTATCATAAATAACAGTAACTGGAAGGCTATGTAGACACTTCTGACCTCTGGGACAACTGCTTTGTTGTCAAGTGTATAAAAGGTGTATATACAATCACATCCCATCTTTGTAGAGGCTACATTCCTACATACTACACTCTGCCACCTCTGGTCTCACATGCATCCTCAATTTTAATCACTTTTCTAAAGTCACGACTGCCATCTGCAACCTAGACTGTGGAATTCCCTACAAACCAATATAGTCTCCTTAAAACCTGATACTGAAACACACGAGCTATTAAGTCAGGGAAATAGGGTAGGTTTTATTTGCTCACACTGCTGTAAACTAAGCGTAATATTTTACTAAAGGCAATATAAAAACCAAGCTGTGGTTAGACAACAAAATCCTGTACAT